TCGTCGAAGATAAACAGAGGCATCGGATCCTTCGGTTGTCCGTGCCGCCGGATATCGACGCTCTCTCCCAAAGGTTCCCGTACAAAAGCTCCCTTTCGCAGTCGCAATTTCTTTGTTTCTTCATAAACCTCCGTGCGCGTTGTTGACGTAGAATAAATTGGCCGCTCAAGGTCGGCAGACGGAGCGGTCCCCCTCCGTCGCGGTCTCCGCCGCCCACCCGTGAAAGTTTGAATGGCGCCTAATGTGATTCACCGTTGCGGACCTTGAGCTTCGATTGATTGTCCTCGCGAGCGCTGCAAAAGTCCGCTTGATAACCCGAATGTTTACCAACCCGAGCACGTTGACGCGATCCCGTGCCTATCTTTCAGGGAAGAACGCGTTGCACGTGTTATCTCCGCGCGATGTTTACGCGGTGGGTCACGAGCGCGCCGGAAGAAAGGTCCTCTCGTTCGGGCGGTCCTCGGTTCCCTTGCAATCTACTTTGGCGACGATTTGCGATACTTGGAAGATGTCCAAGGCGGTTCGTTCCTCGACAGTATGCTCCGGTTAGTGCTGTAAAACATTCGAGTCTTCGAAGCTTCAAGGTTCCACCTTAAAGGCCGAGTCTCGGAGACGCGGAGTTTAATGGAACTCGAGTCGTTCAAGCTTCGAGACTCAGGTAGAAAACTCATTTGAAAACGGCTGAAGACACGAGCTGTTGCCGTGTTAACATCGAACATTTCAAACTTAACGTTGAATATCTGAGAAATCCAGGCTTGAATTTCGCTGTTGTATAGTAACGGAGACGGCTCGGGTCTCGGAGCCAGAAGACTCGAGCGTTGAACACTTCAGCTTTTAGAGCTCAAGGCTCCGAAGGCTCGAGTAGCGACTACGGTTTCCAAGGCTCCATTCTCGGAGTTGATTTTTACAATGCTAACTGCGATCCATTTGCGAGCAAGTTATCTTATACCTCAGAGACTGGTTACGCCAGCAACGCAGGGGCTACGCGAGGAGGATCACGTTACAGAAGCGTTCGCAGCTTCTCTTCTGAAAGCAGCTCCTGCAAAAGAGACAAACCGAAGTCAGACTGTCCTGATCAGAAGCAAGAGATAGTCCGGGATCATCCTTTAAAATGCCCTCTTTCCCCGGATCCTTGCGCTGCTCCTCCGCACGGTCCTCGCGGCGCGGATGCATCAGCTGCACCAGCTGCACCTCGGAAGTACCGTTCTCCTTGCCTGAATATAGACGATTATTCTCCCTGCACAGGTAAAGCTCGTTTAGATCCTCCATGTGTGCCCCGGGAATTCCCCGTGCGCGACACGAAACGCTTTCATAATTCATCCGCCGCGGGAACTTTGTGGGTCAGACTGATAAAAATGTCTAGAGACACGCGTCACGTGTTATCACCGATGCTACCGATAATCGATAATTGAACTATTACGTTGTCTCCCCCGGGACACGTACGTTTCCCTTTTATCTTGTCCGGTTTTCGCGGGAGTGTTGAATAACGTTGATAATACGGCATTGTGATAGCGTATCTGATAAAAGCCGCGTATGAACTATTCGAGAATGGAAAGGCGCGTGATGATTTAGCTCTTTCTCTCTCCGGGTGGCACACCGTATTGATTCACGCGGGTATAGACGGATCCAGGGATAAGTTCTGGCGGTTTCTGATCTTCTTCGTGATGCTACCGGTGCTGGTCGTCTCGTCGATCGTCATCCTGTCGAACGTGAACTACAAGAGGAAGCAGCCGAGGCCGGAGTTCGTCGATGTCCCGTACTTGCGGCGAATAACTAAGGTGCCATTTTTTCTATTGATCTTCCAAGTTGCATCGACGCGAATAACTGCGACCAGTTTCGAACACTTAAACAAACAAGTAGTAAAATTTCTTATTCCTGTCTATCGAGATTCGTTCTTAACCCGTCTTATTATAAACTGTTGGACTCGCGAGGATTTCGAACAGAATTTAACGAGCATAAATATTACTCTGTTCTTCCGAGTTCCAGTGAATTATTATTCTTCTGTAATCAGATGTACTCTAGAAATATAGACAAAGAATACGCCTAGAATTTTCAACGAGAAGTAAAATTATCAACTACGATTGAGAAAGAAATCACAGCTCAACGGGTTCAGTCGGATTCTCGTTTCACATTTTCATGAACTTAGCCAGGCGGTGGATATTGCGCGCTAGAGTTTTACGCGAATCCTTCACGGCGGACCTGTCCGCACATCTCCGAATGGTAATCCATTTGCACGGCAGTGTCGCGCGATCGATTAACGAAGTCTTACCGATTCGCTCGGCGCGGCGTCGCCGCAAGAATTTCAGATTCCCTTTTCTCTCTCCGTTCGACGTCGCTTCGTTCCATGCAGTTCCATCGTATTCGATAA